ATAGTTTGTTTTCACAGAATAATTTTTTTATGATTACAAAAGGTCCTACTTTGGAGCTCCCTGACCTCCCTCAATTGATTCAGTTATTTTTTAAAATGAACGGTATTTTGTTAGTTTCACAATGTTCGGAGAATTTTTGTTACTAATTCCGTTACTTGTACTTATCAAGTAAGCCCCTTTCACTCCGTTGAAAACGTGACGAAAAATTTTCTTTCAATAAATGGAAGCCCCTCCCAAAATACGATTTTTTTGAAAACAACACTGAACCTGGAACAGGAAACCCAGATCTGCCCAGGGCTTATTTACAGAAATGTTAGCGTGTCAGTATCAATGTTTGACAATAGATTATGAGCTCGACGTTTCTATCGCGTGAGACGCAGCCCGAGTCAACTGTCACGCGATTAGAAGTCGAGAGCAAGTAATCTGATTATTCTTGCATAAATCTACTAGTATAGACGTTCGATCAGAAGCTTTATCTAATCCTTGTTTAACCCGACATGAAACGCTATTTATGATTATGTATTTCTTTTTCTCCGTTTGCGTCTCAGCATATTCTGAGGAAGGATGGCGAACATAAAACATGATTGCGTGACGGGGTAATGAAGGTGATCGTTGAAAATTTTATATATTCGACCGCTAATTAATTATATACGTCGTGTTTACGTCACGTCGCTATGTTTATCTGTTATCTGTTTACTACGAAACCGTTCTTCGATGTGTATTTTCCGCGTTTGAAGTAAAATTAATATAACACGTACTAGGAGTCCCTAATTCATTCCAAAGAGATGTTCCTTGATTTTGACCTTGTTTTAGCCAGAGTCAGATCAAAACAGTATACTGTCTATCTTTATGGAGAAATGTGTCGAAGACCGCTGGATTTCTGTAAACAAAGTGATTATTGTCCGTGAAATTTGTGCAAGACGGAATAGCGAGAGATAGTTCTTTAGTTTACGCTCGAACGCACTCCGCAAGCGAAGAATGAACCAGCGGTATTGTAGACTGATTGGAGGAACGTAATGTTCTAATTTTAGGCTTTCTTTATTTGGGTAACTGCTCTTGGCGGTCTCCGGGTTAACCATTTTAGCTTCTTAGTCAGTCTTTTTTCGATATCTTTTCGGGAAAGTTTTGTTTCTATCAGTCGGTTCAAGCGTGCGAAAATTTGAAATTGTCCATGACGCTCTATTGAAATCCTTTTCCTGTATAGGTTACGGAAAGGGAGATGAGTTTTTTGTTCCGTAATTGAGTAAGACAAGGCAGATAATTGGAAGGGATCAGGCGCGCGAGAAGAGGTGGGAAGGAAACGCTTTCCATGCCTAGCATCCTTTGCAAGCTTTGTGTTTCTTTGAAGCAGGGCGGCTAAGTATTGTTTCAAAGTTCTGGGGGTCTGCATGGGGGTGTTGTAAAATTTTCTCGGGTACCCCTAGAGACAACCCGGCTTCTCCTCGAGGCAACTTTATCGAGCGTTTATATGTGAAAACGTAGTCCCTGTACACCGAGCAAAAGTTGACCCTGCGTGATTATTGATAACCCTTATTGATAATCAAATGTGTAAATGCCCCTCTTTCTCTGAGTTTCTCTCAGTTGTTCGATCAAAGTGGGTTTTGCCGAGTTAATTTTCACTTCTTTGATACGAAAGTCTGCTTTTTAATCCTAAACCTAGGCATTACACGCCGAGAGTTGTCCCGGTTAGGCTGGCCAAAGTGTATATACGAAGAAAAGTTGTCCCGCCTGCCAGGGTTACCCTACCTGCCGAGGCTTAATGAAATGTGGGCTGTGTAGGTATATGTAGGGGATAAATGAGATGTAGGCTGTGTAGGTATATGCGGGGGATTAATGAAATGTTGGCTGTGTAGGTATATGTGGGGGNGGGGGGGGTTAATGAGATGTAGGCTGTGTAGGTATATGTGGGGGATTCATGAAATGTAGGTTGTGTATGTATATGTGGGGGATTAATAAGAAGTGGGCTGTGTAGGTATATGTAGGGGATTAATGAAATGCAGACTGTGACCGATATTGGAGGGATATTTAGGGGGATTGTTGAGGGAGAACTCTTCATTATATATCCAGAAGGGATTGTTTTAAGGGAGATTCAGAGAGATGTGTATATTGCGGTGGAGTTAACTGGCCGCTCAACCATCCGGGTGGTGTCGCACTTACAAAGCGAAAGAACAAAAGGCATGGCTGTGCCGAGCCAATGGGAAGGCACTGACATCATAGCCAAACTGGATAAACGAGTTTCTGACACCGGCTGGATTTGATTATTCAAAATGGCCGACATACCTTAATTTAACGTTATAATATGCTAATCTGCCAAACATTCTTTATATGCACGCTTATGTTCTGTAACTGCTTTATGATTTATGCTTTACATACAGTTATATATTAAAATACGCGTTCACCTTGTGTATCTTGAGTTACAGTAGCCAGATTAAGCTTTGATTGAGTAAATAAAATGATCGCTCTATTGACGGCATATTTGTTTTTTGCAATCCTTGTGCACGCGCTGAATTGCATCAGTATATAAAAGCGCGCGCGAAAACTGTGTTCGGCCACCTTAAATCAGTTGTTATCAGTTCATGTGGAACCAAGCGGATTGTTCACCTGATACATATTACTTCCGCGACGGTCGTTACATGTAACATGCAATATTCGTTTGATTTAGAACTATTAAGATAACGAAAAATGGATATCGGAGGATGTGCTCTAGTGACGGTTATAACTTATTTCTTCTGTAATCTTTGGAGATCAGGTGCTTTTCCCTTGTCTACTCTGAGAGAGTTCACATGTATTTTATCGCGCTCTGTTATTTTGTGTTTTAGTCGGTTTTCAATTCGTTAAAAATGACTCTTGCAAACGAGAATTCATCATCAATTGCATCTTTGTCTAGTCGACTTAACTACTTGGA